ATCTTATTTCTTAAAAATTAAAAAAAAAATTATTGGAAAGGATCCAAGTTGGACTTGTTGACATGTTAAAAAAAGTCTAAGTTGGCGCTGACATGTAAATCTATAACGGAAATAATGATGCACGTGTAGCACGTGACCTTTTGGCATTAAAATTTGCCTCATTTCCCCAAACTAGAAATCATGGAGGATAAAAATTTATATATTGTAATATAAGGGGTAAAATGCCTCAAACTCAAAATCTTTAAGGCCAAACGGGTACCTTTTGCCCAATTTTGTACTTGAACTTTTTTCAACCTTTAAAACTATTATTAACTGTCTTTTCTTGTACAAACAATTATATATTTTAGTATTAACTTTTAGAGTAAAAAAATCATCAAATTGCAATACTTTAAATAAGAGTCACAGAAGACAAAAAAATATCGAGCTTTTTTTCTTTTAAATTTAAAATATTAATAATTCATTTCTAAACTCAAATCACTGTATTCATATCCTACTATACCAAAATTTATACGTAAAAATAAAAAATTAAAAAAGAAAATAAATAAAAAGTCCATACCCATACACACGAAAAGTCTAATCCCTACTTGTTGTTACTCTGAGAGTGGGGATATTTCAGTTTTACTCGCTACTTCATTGAGAAGGTTATATCATTGACTTTGATGAGAGTATCTCCATCACTCTTGGATTCAAGTACAATCTTCTATCAATTTTAATCTAACTTGGATTCAAATCACTTCATTGTTCGTTTTTTATTTGAATTTGTGTTTACATTTGTTAGGCCGCTATAACAAAGAGTCTGCAGGAGAAAAATACGAGATTGGAGAATGTGCGTTGGAGGATTTGGAAGTTGGCTTGCAAGGAGAAGCAAGTTTTGCTTTTAATTTATTCTTTTCTTTTAAAATTTCTTATTTTTATGGATAAATTTTGACATAGCATGATATGAATATGGTGATTTAAGTTTAGAATTTGATGAATTATTAATATTGTTTTCAATTACGTGATCATTCTTTATTTTCAAATTTAAAAGAAAAAAGTTTAATGTTTTTTGTCCTATACTCTAATTATTTAAAGTATTACAAGTCGAAGATTTATTTATTTATTTAAAAGTTAGTACTAAAATATATAATTATTTGTGCAAGAGAATATTGTTAATAGTAGTGTTGAAGGCAGAAAAGAGAGTGAGTATGAAATTGATGGAGCTAGCAATTTTTTATTTACATTGATAGAATATGTAGTACCATCAGCAAAATACCATGGAATTTTATAGGGCCACAGAAATAATGCAATAAAAAACATATACTATTGCATTTAATAGTGTTATAAATGATGTTAGAGGAGGAATGTAACATTGTTAAAAACAGCGTTAGGAGAGGCAGGCAATGATGTAGGGGAGGGAGGTAAATGTAATGGAAAATTAAAGTAGAGGGAGGACAATGGCATGGTTTGGAAGAGTAGAGGGAGAACTTTGAATGATTTGTAAGCATATAGGGAGAACAATGAATAAAAATTGAAAGTAGAGGGACTGTAGTTGGCCTTAACCCTTCCAAATAAGGTAAAACATGTAGATCACCCCCTCAACTCATCAACTAGTGGCAAATCACCACCTCAACTCACTTCACGCGCAAACCAACCCCTCAACTCATCTGTAGTCGCAAATCAACCCCTTTATTAAGGCTAACATCATCATTCCGTTAACTTTTAACTGTCCGCTCATAAGCCCTTCCTTTGTGTCTAGCATGGCCTTTTTTGCTAACATGGATGCTAAGGTGGAGGCACCACCTAGACAAATACCCCAAAATCACCTGATCAAGCAAATTACTTTTATACCCTTAAATTATTTAAGGAAATCATATTAGGGATCTGGGGATCTAGGGTTTAGGGAAACAAACCAACAGCAACGTAACAACCGAAGCTCTGGCCTCTTTCCAAGGCTAAGCACGATAGAGACACCGCTTCCTCCGCCTCTTCTGTCTTTCTCTCTCGTTATTTCTTCCCCTTAAACAGTAGCTGAAACCTCATTCTTAAAGCAGCAAAAGCATTTCTGTTCATGAGAAATTTAGATAATTGATCATATTTTGTTGAATTTACGCTAGGTGGTGGTGGTCACAATGAGAGTGGCGTGATGGGATTTTGCATATGTCCTTTAGAAACTTCGGCGAGATTACTCTGGACTACTAGCTTCTTCCATCATGAGCTCATGATCTTTTAATATTTACTACACAGAGTCTGTGAGAGTGGCGACAATTATCTTTTATTTCAAGAAAAATAAATTCAAACAATTCTTGGTAAAACTCAAGATAATAAAATCCTTTGATTGTTCTTATTTTTCTTCTCAAATCTTAAACTTTCTTGGTAATGAGCAAGAGAAGAAAAACATTTCTCTGATTTTCCTCTTTCTTTTCAAATCTCGTACTTTCCTTTCTTAGTAAACAAATAGAAAAGGGCAAATAAATATAAAAAAAAAAAAAGGGAAAGGAAGAAATAGGAAACTTAATACAAAAGCATATGTTGGATGAACTCAGCAAAACAGGGGAGTCGAGAAGCTCCGCCAGACTCAATCCAGGAGGGATGGAAAAACAAGAAGAAGGAGAAACAAGAGGAGGATAGATAGGCAGTGAAGGAGGAGGAATCGACTTGAACTTTGGCACATTGGATCTGGTCTCAGCAATGCAATCCGACAACGACGACCCACCACTGCGTTTGTTGCCACCACCGTCGGTAATCAAGGGTACATCACCGGTCGCGGCGAGGAGGTCAATGAAGGAGAAGCTAAAGTAATTCTGTTGGTGTGAGTTAGCCGTTGTGTCAAGGTTGCTGCAGGAGGAAGCCGTGGGAAGTGTTGCACTCGGCCTTCGAAAGAGGCCAGAGCTCCAATTGTGATGTTGCCGTTAGTTTGTTTCCCTAAACCCTAGATCCCCATATCCTGATTTCCATAAACAATTTAAGGGCATAAAATTAATTTACTTGATCTGATGATTTTGGGATGTTTGACTAGGTGGTGCCTCCACCTTAGCATCCATGTTAGAAAAAAGGCCACATCAGACCTTGAGGAGGGGCTTATGAGTGAATCGTTAAAAGTTAACGGAATGATGATGTCAGCCTCAATAGAAAGGCTAATTTGCCATTGCAAGGGAGTTGAGGGGGTTGGTTTGTGCATAAAGTGAGTTGAGGGGGTGATTTGTCCCGGTCGATGAGTTGAGAGGGTGATATACATGTTTTGCCTCCAACTAATGTTAACAGAGGATATGACTGTCATTCTAGTGAATTTGATACCCAATTCATGAAAATTGATATGCCTCAACTTGGACCTACCTACTACTTTTTTAATTTAATTTTGTGGGGTTCGAACTTGAGTGCTATCCCTAAACAGTATGCTAAACAGAGAATCTCATATCTCTTTTCTTAGCTACAATGCAACCTCTCACGTGCAATAAATATGCTGATCTAGTTTTTAGATCAAACATCTTCAAAGTTACTCCACCTTCTTCTTTCCTTCTAGGACGTAGCCTTTGGGTTTATTAATTCCTTGTTTATACTCTGGTTTTTGTGTTTCTTTGTAGGAAACAGATCTCCCCAGCTTCCAATCTTCTTTAATTAGCCTCCTTTGCCTCACAAAGGGAGAGAAAAGAAGAAGAAAAAATGGCCTTAGAGGCAATTGTTTACCCACAAGACCCATGTGGTTATGGCTGTAAGGACTTGTACACTCTTCTTGGCTTTCTTGGCAGCGAAGGGGCTGCCACGGGTCTTCATGTAAATGCTAGGGAGCACTCCTCTCCTACCGGAGATCCTTATTCTACACCGAAAGCTTGCACCGCCGGTGATCAAGCTCCACAGGTCAGGGGATTCTCTTCAATGGAATCGCCTGCCTTGGTTGGACCGGAATCTACAACTAACAATAGGCGCAAGAGGCAGCGCACAAGGAGCAGCAGGAACAAAGAAGAGTTAGAGAACCAGAGGATGACTCATATCACCCTTGAACGGAATCGCCGGAAACAAATGAACGATTACCTCTCCGTACTTAAGTCTCTGATGCCACCTTCCTATGTTCAAAGGGTCAGTTTTCTATTTGTTTTTGCAAACTTCTGTACCTATCCTTCCAATATATAATGGAATTCTTTCTCATATACAACATTTATCCTTCCCTCTCTTCGCAAATTTCTGAATCATGTTAACATATACATATTTCAGGGTGATCAAGCGTCAATAATTGGAGGAGCCATTAATTTCGTGAAGGAACTAGAGCAGCTGCTGCAATCCATAGAGGTGAACAAGAGGACTACTACTTCTCAGCAACTAGATAACAATGCCGACCATCCTTCGCCGCTGCCCTTTGCTGAATTCTTCACTTTCCCACAGTTCTCGACTCGATCAACTCAGCGTCAAAATATACCTTCATCCGTGCCATCATCGGAGCACAATAAGCAAGAAGAAAGCGAGGCGGCTGACATAGAAGTGAGCATGATGGAGAGCCACGCGAATGTGAAGATACTCTCCAAGAAACGACCAAGACAGCTCTTGAAGCTGGTCACCGCCTTGCAAAGCCTCCGGTTCAGTATCCTCCATCTCAACGTTACCACCGCCGATCTTATGGTCCTCTATACCATTAGCCTCAAGGTTAATTAGTGTATTATACTTGAATTAAATTAAAACCTAACATATTAGAAAGATTTAACTAATTAAGTTCAATTTATGTTACAGGTTGAGGAAGGGTGTCATTTAAATACGGTGGAAGAAATTGCAGCCGCTGTTAATCAAATGCTGCGTACAATCCAAGTGGAAGCTGCTTTTAGCTGAGGAGATCTAAGACTAAC